GATTGAATGTTAAGCAGTTCAAAGGCAACACACCACTTGAAGTCTGTGCACAAGAAATACAATTTACTAATGACGCTACAGTTAAGAAGCGTCAGTCTCTAGCTAGGACTCTGTTTAATTACATAAAGTCCAACTCGAAGTCTTTCAAACCCTATTTTTAAAGGGATTAATGAAAGATAATCCCGAAACATATACACATATAATGCGACTATTAAATAAGTCTTGTGTATCAAACGCACACGAGCGCACCCATGACACTCATGCGAAAGAAGGACAGGAGTCTGGAAACACTACAGACTTAGAGACCACGCAAGTGGATTCTCAACACCCTACCTTTATTCTGGAGGAGCAGAATGATAAAAACATTCTTGCTTGGCTGACGCAAAACCATAAGCTGAAGCACCAGAACGTAGTAGACGCACTTAAAGATGCTAAGCGAAATGGGATCGCGCACCCTAAGCTAGCAACTTTAGTTGACAAAGTATATCAGTCATGTACAGATTGTGATCTCAACCAGATTAAGCGCTATGGATTCGCACCGCTTAAGAGTGTGACTGAAGATGTTCTATGGCGCAGGGTCATCATTGATCTGGTTGACCTGCCTACGTCCGAACACACAGGCATGCCACTTCTTTGATGTGGCGTCACGGTATAACTTGCTCTATCTATTATAGGATAAGAGTACGCAGACCGTGGCAGAAATATGTTGCCAAGTCTTTGCTGACCACGGGTGGCCAGGTATCATGTGCACTGATAACGGTAGCGAGTTCTGCGATGACATAATGGAATCGTTAGTGCTCGTATCTGGCATGTGCCATAAAAGGGGTGTACCATATAAACCGCAAACACAAGGCGCTATTGAAACGCGCCATAGAAGACTTAAGTTCTTCTTGCGTACCGCATTAACGGATGATGCAGATGATTGGCCGTACCACCTTAAGTGGGTACAAAAACAGATGAACGAGTGTGCTGATCCGGTTACAGGAACAACACCCGGTCACTATTTTCGTGGCAGATATAGTGAGTTACGAATACCCTTTAACAAGGACGAACCTGATCACCATGAGTTACCATGGTTAGAGAAGGTACAACGCATACACAACGTTGTATATCCTTTCTTGCGAGAGACACGTAATGTGGCCGATGGAATGCTACCAAAAAGATAGCAGAGTATCAGGCTGGAGACAGAGTTAACATCCGTCAACGTAATTCCGATGCTACTGTACTAACATCGAAATGGATAGAACCATATATAATCTCTGTAGCCGACACTAAAAGTGGAGCCTATGAGGTTAATAACCCCGACGGTTCTAGTGCTTTAAATATAGGCACTAGTCGAATTCTGACTACTGATATTATTCTGGCAAGAAGACATGATTCTACTGCACCTCTTGACCGCTCCGAATTCAAAGATATTATATGGAGAACAGATAAAGGAGGATATACATACTATCGTACACGCTTTATAGATGGTACAATCGCTGAGTTAACTTCAGACGCTTTTGACAATCAGGACTATTTAAATGCCTTTCACAGAAAATGGCGTAAACGCCTACATAAGTCACAGGCTGAAAAAAGATAGCATGTTTCCATCGACTGAAGGCACGGAAGTTAAAACTTGCTCGCCAACAGCATTTATCTCGAGCTTTACTGCTCATCCTTCATATGTTCG